TTGGTGGTGTTGTTGTTGCTGCTTTTGTCGCTGTTGTTGGAGGTGTTGTTGGTGTTGTTGGTGTGGTTGTTGTTGTTGTTGCTGCTGTTGTTGGTGTTGGTGTTGTTGTTGTTGCTGTTTTTGTTGTTGTTGTTGTTGGAGGTGTTGTTGGTGTTGGTGTTGGTGTTGGTGCTGGTGTTGCTGTTGTTGTTGTTGTTGTTGTTAGTGTTAGTGTTGGTGTTGGTGTTGCTGTTGCTGTTGTGGTTGTGGTTGTGGTTGTTGTTGTTGCGGTTGTTGTTGTTGTTGGTGTGGGTGTTGGTGTTGTTGTTGTTGGTGTTGTTGCGGTTGTGGTTGCGGTTGTGGCTGTGGTTGTTGTTGATGTTGTTGTTGTTTTTGGTGGTGGTGTTAGTGTTGTGGTTGTGGTTGTTATTGTTCGTGTTGGTGTTGGAGTTGGTGTTGTTGTTGATGTTGTTGGTGTTGTTGTTGGTGTTGGTATTGTTGTGGTTGTGGTTGTGGTTGCGGTTGTTGTTGTTGCGGTTGTTGTTGTTGCTATTGGTGTTGGTGTTGGTGTTGTCGTTGTTGTTGGTGTTGTTTTGGTTGTGGTTGTGGTTGTGGTTTTGCTTGTGGTTGTGGTTCTGGTTGTGACTCTGGTTGTGGTTGTTGTTGTTGCTGCTGTTGTTGTTGGTGTTGTTGTCGGTGTTGTAGTATTAGTTGCTGTTGTTGTTGTTGGTGTTGCAGGTGTTGCAGGTGTTGTTGGTGTTGTTGTTGTTGGTGTTGTTGCTGTTGGTGTTGTGGGTGTTGTTGTTGTTGTGGTTGTTGTTGTTGTTGGTGTTGTTGGTGTTGCTGTTGTTATTGTTGTCGTGATTGTTGTTGCTGTTGTTGTTGTTGTTGTTATTGTTGTTTGTTGTTGTTGGTGCTGTTGGTGGTGCTGGTGTTGGTGTTGGTGTTGGTGTTGTTGTCGTTGTCGTTGTCGCGGTTGTTGTTGGTGTTGGTGTTGGTGTTGGTGTTCGTGTTGTTGTTGTTGCTGTTGTTGTTGGTGCTGCTGTTGGTGTTGTTGTTGTTGGTGCTTTTGGTGTTGTTGGTGTTGCTGGTGTTGGTGCTGGTGTTGGTGTTTTTGTTGCTGCTGTTGCTGTTGTTGTTGCTGGTGTTGGTGTTGTTGGTGTTGGTGTTGTTGTTGTCGCTGTTGGTGTTGGTGTTTGTGTTGGTGTTGGTGTTGCTGTTGTCGTTGTTGTTGTTGCTGTGTTTGTTGTTGTTGCTGTTCTTGTCGTTGTTGTTGTTGTTTTGTTGGTGTTGTTGGTGTTGTTGTTGCTGATGTTGGTGTTCGTGTCGGTGTTGTTGTTGTTGGTGTTGTTGTTGATGTTGTTCTTGTGGTTGTTGTTGGTATTGTTGTTGTTGCTGCTGCTGTTGTTGTTGTTGTTGTTGTTGTTGGTATTGTTGTTGTTGCTGCTGTTGTTGTTGGTGTTGGTGTTGTTGTTGGTGTTGTTGGTGTTGGTGTTGTTGTTGTGGTAGTGGTTGTTGTTGGTGTTGTTGTTGTTGGTGTTGATGGTGTTGTTGGTGTTGTTGTTGTTGGTGTTGCGGTTGTGGTTGTTGTTGTTGTTGGTGTTGGTGTTGTTGGTGTTGTGGTTGTGGTTGTGGTTGTGGTTGTTGTTGTTGGTGTTGGTGTTGTTGTGGTTGTGGTCGTGGTTGTGGTTGTGGTTCTGGTTGTGATTCTGGTTGTGGTTGTTGTTGTTGCTGCTGTTGTGTTGTCGGTGTTGTAGTAGTAGTTGCTGTTGTTGTTGTTGGTGTTGCAGGTGTTGTCGGTGTTGTTGTTGGAGTTGTTGTTGGTGTTGTTGTTGGTAGTGTGGGTGTTGTTGTTGTTGTGGTTGTTGTTGTTGGTGTTGTTGGTGTTGCTGTTGTTATTGTTGTCGTGATTGTTGTTGCTGTTGTTGTTGTTATTGTTGTTTGTTGTTGTTGGTGCTGTTGGTGGTGCTGGTGTTGGTGTTGGTGTTGTTATCGTTGTCGTTGTCGTTGGTGTTGGTGTTGGTGTTGTTGTTGTTGCTGTTGTTGTTGGTGTTGCTGTTGGTGTTTTTGTTGTTGTTGCTGCTTTTGGTGTTGTTGGTGTTGCTGGTGTTGTTGTTGGTGATGGTGTTGTTGTTGTTGCTGCTGTTGCTGTTGTTGTTGCTGGTTTTGTTGTTGGTGTTGGTGTTGTTGTTGTCGTTGTTGGTGTGGATGGTGTTGTTGGTGTTGTTGTTGCTGTTGTTGTTGGTGTTGCTTTTTGTTGGTGTTGTTGGTGCTGCTGTTGTTGATGTTGGTGTTCGTGTCGGTGTTGTTGTTGGTGGTGTTGGTGTTGTTGTTGGTTGGTATTGTTTTTGTTGTTGTTGCTGTTGTTGTTGTTGGTATTGTTGGTGTTGCTGCTGTTGTTGTTGTTGTTGTTGGTGTTGTTTTTGGTGTTGTTGGTGTTGGTGTTGTTGTTGTCGTGGTTGTGGCTGTTGCGGTTGTTGTTGGTGTTGGTGTTGTTGTTGGTGTTGTTCTTGTTGTTGTT